TCCTCTACCTTCTCACCTTCTGGCTACTCGCCATCACCTACCTAACATACTCACTAACAATACCACTCGACGTTCTACACCTACAATCACACCTACGCACTGCCGTGCTATCACCACTGCATCTACTCACCAACTACACACAACCACATGACATCACATACTTCGTACCGTAATCTACTACTCTCTCCATTACTACTATCCATCAATCACATATAACCTCCTCTCAGTCATCAACCTCTTCGTCACCTTCTGGCTACTCGCCATCACCTACTTCCTCTACTCACTGACAATACCACTCGACATTCTCCACATCCTCTCGCATTGGCGTCCCGCCTTCACTCACCACCTCCTACCACTGCATCTACTCGCCCACAACATCCCCGCACCTACTACATTGTACTTCAAACCGTAATCTAATACTCACCTACTCCACTACTACCATCCATCAATCACAGACAACCTCCTCTTAGTCATCAACACACCTCCCAATGCGGCCAATCCAACTACCCCTCCCCCCTCCAAGCTTTCCTAACAGATTGTCTAACCGGTTTCCAATGCGAATCTCTTAAAAATAAAAAATGTAAAATTCAAAATGGTCAACTTGTATCGACAAATGGTGACCCTGTACCATATAGTGACCATATTTCCCATCGTCAGTTTCATTTATATTGCCCCGTCCCTATGGGATTCACTCCTCAAACACTTGTCGATAAGTCAGTTGGTGATCGCACTGGTAACTGTATCAAGGAGATACTAGATTACTTCACTAAAAAGGACCGTAACTACGCCACTCTCTACAACATAATCATATGTCTAATATGCACCGGGTTACGTACCCCCCGTACAGTCGGCGATCTCTTCTCTTTCTTCCTAAAGCTTGGTGAGAATATGAATAATGGTGGTTCCCCTAAGGTCGCTACTGCCATCGATACCGAATCTAAGAATATACCATGGAATTCCTATGGTTCGAAAGACATGACTGACGCAGCCAACAATCTAGCTGGTAAAAAACACAACGGTAACCACACCTCCGATCCCTCCCTCTACACCCTCTACGACAGTGATTGCGGTAATGGCAACACCTGCGGCTCCTATCTCGACCCCCTGTCATTCGTTATCTATCGTAATATCTCTGACATTTTCGCTATGTCCTATCTATCACGTATTGTGTATCTCACGGATGTCCTCAAAGAAGGTCTTAAAGTGTTACTTACAGAGTTCAACAACCTCACGTGCGAACATTGTACGAAATGTGTCAGCAAACCAAAACACAAAGAAGGTGAACATGGCAACCAATGTAAATGTGAAACCATCGTCCAATGCGCTGACGTCCTACCCCTTTTCTTCAAATTCGGCTTCGTATACTACAGTCACCATGCATTGAATGGAAAATACAATAACAAACCCGAGTGGCTCCGCAAATGCTCCGCATTCTACACGCAACTCAACGCAGTCATCGCCGACGGTGGCCTCTTCAAAAAGCTTCTTCAATGCATCAATGACTTTCTCTACTGCATCCGCAAACCCTTCCTCCTGTACCTCCTAACATTCTGGCTCATCGTCATCACCTACCTAACATACTCTCTCACAATACCACTCGACGTTCTACACCTACGTTCACACCTACGCACTGCCGTGCTATCACCACTAGTACTACTCACCAACTACACACAACCACATGACATCACCTACTCACTCCACTACTACCATCCATCATATAACTACAACCTCCTCAATGATATCAACCTCTTGGTCACCGTCTGGCTACTCGCCATCATCTACCTCCTCTACTGACTACTCTTCCCCCTGGACCTCCTCCACATCCTCTCGCACTGCCGTGCTATCACCTCTTGTGCTACTCACCAACTACACACAACCACATGACATCACATACTTCAAACCGTAATCTAATAGTCACTCCACTACTACCATCCATCAACCACGTACAACCTCCTCTCAGCCATCAACAAATTCCTCCATTCCATCCGCCAACCCTTCCTCCTGTACCTCCTCACCTTCTGGCTACTCGCCATCAACTACCTCCTCTATTCACTACTCGCTCCACTCGCCCTTCTCCACATCCTCTCGCATTGGCGTCTCGCCTACACTCATCACCCACTACCACTGCATCTACTCGCCGACAACATCCCCGCACCTACTACATTGTACTTCCAACCGTAATCTAATACTCACACAATTGCACTACTCACCTACTCACTCCACTACTACCATCTATCAACAACGGACAACCTCCTCTCAGTCATCAACAACTTCCTCTACCACATCCGCAAACCCTTCCTCCTATACCTTCTCAGCTGCTGGCTACTCGTCCTCACGTACCTAACATACTCTCTCACAATACCACTCGACGTTCTACACCTACGTTCACACCTACGCACTGCCGTGCTATCACCTCTTGTACTACTCACCAACTACACACAACCACATGACATCACATACTTCCATCCGTAATGTAATACTCACTCCACTACAACCATCCATCAACCACAGACAACCTCCTCACAGCCATCAACGCATTCCTCCTTTGCATCCACCAACCCCTCCTCCTGTACCTTTTCACCTTCTGGCTACTCGCCATCACCTACCTAACATACTCACTAACAATACCACTGGACATTCTACACCTACAGTCACACCTACGCACTGCCGTGCCATCACCACTGGTACTACTCACCACTCACACACAACCACATGACATCACATACTTCCATCCGTAATTTACTACTCACTCCACTACTACCACCCATCAACCACAGACAACCTCCTCATAGTCATCAACCAATTCCTCCTTTGCATCCGCTATCCCTTCCTCCTGTACCTCCTCACCTTCTGGATACTCGCCATCACCTACCTAACGTACTCACTAACAATACCACTCGACGTTCTACACCTACGTTCACACCTACACAATGCCGTGATATCACCACTAGTACTACTTACCAACTACACACAACCACATGACATCACATATTTCAAACCGTAATCTAATACTCACTCTATTCGACAACTCATTCACTCACTCCACTACCCACTACTCTACCTCACCTACTGGCTA